AGCACCGGTTTTAAGAGTGCCTCTATAGCTAGATCTTTTTTTTTTTTTTTTTTTTTTTTTTGGGGAGGTTCGCTCCTGTTTCCCAGGCTGGAGTGCAATGGCACCATCTCGGCTCACCACAACCTCCGCCTCCTGGGTTCAGGCAATTCTCCTGCCTCAGCCTCCTGAGTAGCTGGGATTACAGGCACGCACCACCATGCCCAGCTAATTTTTTGTATTTTTAGTAGAGATGGGGTTTCACCATGTTGACCAGGATGGTCTCGATCTCTTGACCTCGTGATCCACCCGCCTCGGCCTCCCAAAGTGCTGGGATTACAGGCTTGAGCCACCGCACCCGGCCTTATAGCTAGATCTTATAGGGAAAGTATAATCAAATTAACGGGTCTGTCTCTGGTACAGGCCAAGGGAACAGGTAGCAGGGGCCAAGGATAAGGATAGGATTTTCCTAAGAAGCCCCAAAAGGGCAAGTAGTAAGTCTTGTAAAGGCTTTGCCAATCAGTCTCTATTAAACTGTGGCAGCCTACTTCCCAACGGTTGGGATGGTTCCACTATGCTGACCTGTGGTGAGTGTTTGGGCAACGCCCATAACAACACTGAATTTTTCTTGACAGAAGAGACAATTACTTCCTTTTCACCCTAACTGAGTGAAGAGGGCTGGTAGTTTCTTATTTAAGGTTTAATTCCCTAAAACAGAAAAAAACTATACCCAAGTCTTTGGGGGCAGAATTTTTTCTCGGACATGAAAAAAGAGGAAGAATGAGGCCTCAAAGATAGAATAAGAAGAAGAAAAGGAAAGAGAACAGAGTTATTTCCAGGAGTGTAAACTTAATCAGAGTTCCTTGAAGTCAATGGTCACTTAGCCAATGGAGAACATTATCCACCTCAAGAGTAACAGGTCTAAACCACTGTATATCAGTCAACAGGAGTCTAACAAAACTGGTGAATCTACAGTAAAGACAGAACCACATATAGGATTGACAGACAAAGATTGGGTGCCCCCCAGATGGGAGACCAGTCTAATGCCTGCCCGGCCACGCCCCCAGAGGGATATTTCAGGACATCTTGGCTAAGGTGTACCCATATAAACCCCGGGCCTGGTCACCTCAGAGTTTTTAGTTCTGAGATGAATCACCGTTATACCTTATGACATTCCCATGGAACCGTGGGTGAAAGCTCTCACAAGCCCCGTAGCTTACTGGCCGTGGGACTACATATACACACATTCATTCTCTCATTTACACAGAGGTTATGGAAAACAACTGAAAACTAATACCAGAGCCTCCGTACAATCAGAGGTGACAGAAATACCAGAGCCTCGGGCGACGTCTCGGGGAGTCTTGCCTGGTCAGAGTTGCAACAACTGTGTCCGGTCCCCTGACTCAGGCTACAGATACATAGGGACAGGTCCCCAGATTTCAGATCCAGAACAGACTTACCTCTGGAGGTTTCCAGGACCCTGAAGGAATCTGGGGTGAATGTCGGCCAAGTGGTCGCTTGTCCATCACGGGGCCGGAATTCTGGGGCCCTGGAACATCATCAGGGGCACCTCCCCCAGAGATCCCCGAGGCGGGAGCGGCTGCCTGGACGAGGTTCTAAGGGCTTTTGTCCAGGTGATGGAGGAATATAAATAAAATCTCGCTGGGGCTTCCAAAATGTTATACCAGATCGAGTATAAAAAATTAACACCAAGACAAAAGTATGCCAAATTGCAGGGTCTTTATTGCCGGCGGCCACAGAGGACTCACGTCTCTCCAACCCATGGCCCCGAGCTCATGGAGAGCAGGGTTTTTAAACTGAAAAACCACATCCTGGTTTTAGGACCAAGAGGGTGAGGGGATGCAGGACAAGCAACTTTACAGCAAGCTAGCTGTTTTTATTTACAGAAGCCAAGGTCAGCAGTTACTGCAAGGAAAACAGGGCAGCAAAGAGTTATCACAAAGGAAACGGGGCAGAAGTTACAAGTTATTTTTGGAAAAAAACGGTTTTCTTGGTGCTTGCAACGTACAGGGTTTAAGATGGTGTTGCTTAGGTTCTAACCCTGGGTTAGCTATGGCACAATACCTCCTAGTTCATTTTCCTGATTTTGGCTGCTACTGAAACATCAAGTGCATCTCTGGCCCATCTAATTTTAAAAGACAAGGTTCTAGACAGCTGAACGTGGAGAGGACATGGAAACAAAGCTGAGCTACGCAAAGTCAGCAGGGAAGGGTTTTCCTGGCTGGAAAAGAGGAGTTGCTTCTACCTTTCCAGTTATTCACATCTGTAGGCACACATGATGATTTTGCAAAAACCTTTACCTATTCTCCACCTACACATTACTTTCCATATCCTGCTCATGCTGCTTATTCCACCTACACAAGTTTGGCTCTTCAAGGCCAGGTGAGTTTTAAACTTGACCAACTTTTCTAGGAAAACCTACCACTTACTGTCTGTGTGTCCTCAGTGCCTAGAACAGTGAAGACATAAGTAGGCATGTTTAAAGTTTATTGAATAGTTTGAATAGTTTATCCCCTCACATACTCATTCAGAGCAGGGACCTTTGCTTACCCTGCAGTGTTAGAACCTTACTCAACCCTACATACCTGCTCTAGCTAGCTACATTCTCTGACTAGCTTGATATAAAGGGACATAGGGGCAAGAGCATTACTGAAGTACTATAGGAACCTATGTTATAGTTCATGTTGAGGTGTGTTCCTGTTTATAAATGCAATTCAAGCTTTCCTAGAGAATTTAGACAATATTTTAAGATTCAACAACTATTGATTCCTTTGAAATCTGACCACCTGGAAGTACTGCTCTTAACATTTTGTTGACCATTCTATCAGATACTCGGCATTTACCACTGCAGAGGCAGTACAATCACTTGAAGCCGGGAGGTGGAGGTTGCAGTGAGCTGAGATCATGTGACTGCACTCCAGCCTGGGCAACAAGAGCAAAACTCCATCTCAAAAAAAAAAAAGAATGCCAAGGAATACTGGGCTCCTGATGCTTAGCCACAATGGTGATCTTGGAGTTAACAGCATTGGCCTCTGAGTGGTTCACATGATTTATCAAATATTTTTTATTACCATTATAACCAATTAAGTGACTTGTGTTACTAAATAATACATTCAATTATCTCGTGTTTACTTTTTAAGAGACTCTGGGTTAGGCCAGGCACTGTGGCTCAGAGTGTAATCCCAGCACCTTGGGAAGCCGAAGCAGGCAGATCATTTGAGCCTAGGAGTTCAAGACAAGCCTGGGCAGTGTGGCAAAACCTCATCTCTACAAAAAATTCAAAAATTAGTCAGGCGTGGTGGTACATACCACTGTGGTCTTGATTCCTCAGCAGGCTGAAGTGGGAGGATTGTTTGAGCCAGGGAGGTTGAGGCTGCTGTGAGCCATGATCACTGGACTCCAGCCTGGATGACAGAGCAAGACTGTGTCTTAAAAAGTGTCTGGGTCGGCCGGGCGTGGTGGCTCAAGCCTGTAATCCCAGCACTTTGGGAGGCCGAGGCGGGTGGATCACGAGGTCAAGAGATCGAGACCATCCTGGTCAACATGGTGAAACCCTGTCTCTACTAAAAAATACAAAAAATCAGCTGGGCATGGTGGCGCTTGCCTGTAATCCCATCTACTCAGGAGGCTGAGGCAGGAGAATTGCCTGAACCCAGGAGGCGGAGGTTGCGGTGAGCTGAGATCGCGCCATTGCACTCCAGCCTGGGTAACAAGAGTGAAACTCCGTCTCAAAAAAAAAAAAAAAAAAAAGTGTCTAGGTCATCTCAGATTATATAAATACCTATTTTGTTCTGTTCAGACTTCTTCCAGCCTCAGGTTGATAGCTTATCTTGACAGTTTAGAATATAGATCTGTAAATGTGGCCAAAGTGGTTGACCCAGGAGCTAGGGCAGAACCATCTGCATTCATTTCTTTGGGGCTTTGGACTGGCTCAAAACTGTACTCTGAAATGGCTCTGAAGAGGAACAACCTTTTTCTAAATTCAAGCCTTCCCATGGAGGGAATTTTTTGTCTTAGTAAATACTACAAGTATGTGGTTTTTAAAAGATTCAATTTTTTCAGGAGAGTAAAAAGATAATTATTTGCACCCATTTCCTAGTCTTTCATTTTCCCTCCCCAAAGGGAAGAAATTAGTTTGTGTCCCCCTTTAAAAGATATCATGTCGACATACTTGAACATCCAGGTTTGTAAAACACATACTCTCTTCTTTGCATTGCTTAGTGTCACTAGAAATATATCTTGGGGCTTGTCAACGATGACAAGAAGGAAGCATAGGTAAGAATAACTGGGGCCAGTGCACCCAGGATCGTGGACAAGGAAATTCATGAACCCGGAGGTCACACCCTTCTATCCTGTCTGGACAGGGTATTTCCTCTTTAGCCACCAAGAAACTTGCACAGGTTGTCTGGGAACCATCCGTTTGTATTTTGCGTTTGCTTTCAGCTTCAAAAAGTGTGTTTTTGTGCCTGCACGTGTCTGAGTGCGGGGACTTGCATATCATTTAGTACGCCTCTGTGATTTACCTTAGTTTATCATGTTTCTGTGTCAGGATCTTGCTGTGACTCGGTGCATGTCGCTGTTAGTGTGACATTGTGTATCATTCTTGCGGTATGGGTGTGTGTTGTGTCGTTATCTAAATGTTACTTTCTAGGGTGTGTGTGTGTGTGTGTCGTCTGTAAGAGTCCACGCCTGTGTGTGTATATCGTCAGGGTGCTCCTCAGTTCCCAGCTCCCTCCCTCATCGCATCCCATCATTCTGGAAAGATGTGTATGGACAGCGGCGCGCCCCGACTCCTACCTCCCAGAGAGAACGCGCGACAGCGTTCCTGGTACACCCCGAAGCCGTCCTCAGGGGCGCGCTGGAAAGGCCTTGCGCGTGCATATGTGTGCAGCCTCCGAGACTAAGCCTTCGGGGTCGCGCGTTCTCGCGCGCGCTCTCTAGTGGCTTCGGAGGGCAGAGCTGACAGAACAAGAGGGCGGGGCTGGCGGCGACGGAAGTGAAGTCACTTCCGGGCTGGGGTGTTTGTTTGGACTGGAGAAGGGAGGCGGCGGGCTAAGCGCACGTCGAGCGGGGGAGCGGCGCTGCCTGTGGAGATCCGCGGAGGCCGACAGGATTCGTTGGCTGCCGTCCCCGCTGCTGTGCACTGGGTGAGGGATCCCCTCGGGCGGAGTGGCGACAAGGGTGCGGCGGTCGAGGGACAGCACCTCGGCGACGGCAGAGGGGCCTAAAGGGTTTCCTGGGGGGTTGGCCGCCGAGTCCCTTGCGGCCTCCGTTGTTCGTTGCCTCTTTGCACCAAGTCTGAGGGATGAGCTTGGGCCGATTTTGTCTGCCTCTTCTCTGAGACATGGCCGTCGCTTTTTTTTTCCATTGTCATTATTTGTGATTTGGATCTCGCAGCTCTCTATCCGGGTCCTCGGTGGCGCGAGGGTTGCCGGGATAGCATTTTCCCCTGTGCCCCATTCCTCTGGTCCTTTCTCCCTCCGCCGGGTACCCTTTCCCCTGCCCCCCACCACCGCCACGGCAACAAAGCTCATTGTTTCTACCCACTTTACGCCTGCGCGTCGCCACGCGCAGCCCCTGCTTGCTGCGCTTGCGCGCCTCAGCCGAGGCTGGGGTTTGCGGGGGAGAGGGGCGGAGGGACTGGCGGGCTGTTGGCGACCTGGGGGAACGCTGCAACCGTCGACAGGCCTTATCAAGATCGCCTTTCCGCCGTTTCTTCGCCATCCCTACCCCTTATTTTTGGTTGTATTGTAGCTCATGATCCGGAAAAGAGAACCTTTGGGGTACTGGAACCCTTTCCTTTGGAGAGTGTTTAGCTAGATGAACTTGAAGATTCACTTACCTTTTGATAATTTTCTGTGCTTACTCTCCTCCTTCCCCCAACACCGCCACCAAAAATAAATAAGGCTTGTGGTGAGCTTAGGTCTGCAAAACATTTGTTGCAGCAGCCAGCAGTGATATTTTTTAGTGACACCTAAAAGTGGTCTTACCTGCTTCCTTTTGTTTCTCTTCTCTGATTTGGCACCCGTATCAAACTCTAAAAAGAATTTGGCTTCCAGTTTGCCTTGGAAGGTGTAGCAATTGACAGCCTTTGACTTTCATTTCAACAGAAAGCAGATGCACTTTTTGGGCGTGCTGGCTAATGTTGGAACGTGGTGGCTCTGTTTTTTCACAGATTTCATTTGAGCAGTTAGATCAGGTGTTGGTGTCGCTTTTGAAATTTCAAAAGCGTAGATTAGGTTTGCACTAAGTAAAAGTTCTTTATAAGAATTTTTAATGAGGCCGGGCGCGGTGGCTCACGCCTGTAATGCCAGCACTTTGGGAGGCCGAGGCGGGCCGATCACGAGGTCAAGAGATCGAGACCATCCTGACCAATATGGTGAAACCCGTCTCTACTAAAAATACAAAAAATTAGCTGGGCGTAGTGGCGCACGCCTGTATTCCCAGCTTCTTGGGACGCTGAGGCAGGAGAACTGCTTTAACCCGGGAGGCGGAGGTTGCAGTGAGCCGAGATCGCGCCACTGCACTCCAGCCTGGCACCTGGTGAAGGAATGAGACTCTGTCTCAAAATAAATAAATAAATAAAAGAATTTTTTTTTTTTTTTTTGAGACGGAGTTTCACTCTTGTTACCCAGGCTGGAGTGCAATGGCGCGATCTCGGCTCACCGCAACCTCCACCTCCTGGGTTCAGGCAATTCTCCTGCCTCAACCTCCTCAATAGCTGGGATTACAGGCACGCGCCACCATGCCCAGCTAATGTTTTGTATTTTTAGTAGAGACGGGGTTTCACCATGTTGACCAGGATGGTCTCGGTCTCTTGACCTCGTGATCCACCCGCCTCGGCCTCCCAAAGTGCTGGGATTACAGGCTTGAGCCACCGTGCCCGGCCAATAAAAGAATTTTTAATGAGACTTCACTATCACTATTTGCTTTTGTGATTCTGTTTCCAGTTGGTGAAAGACCGGATATTTGGGGGGAAATTAGACTGACTACTTGTCGATTGTGAACTTGAAGAAAACTTTCTCACAGAAAAGTATCACTGGATAGGTAACTTGACTAGCTGTAGAGCCCGTTTATGTTTCTTTAAGGGATGGAGGTTAGGGAATGGAGATTTCCTATGATGATCCTTGGAACTCAAATTGAGGTAATTTCCACCGTCTTTGGGTCAGAATGAGTTTATAGCAGGCTTTTCCTTAAATAATAAGCACTGTGTACCTTATTCAGGTTTATCCCTTTATGAATAGAGTTTGATGCCCCAGTTTTAGTGAAAAATTTTAAATTATTAAATGAACACTTAGCACAGCAATTTGGTTGATATTGTGGGAGGTTAAAGAAGTTGGAAGGTAAGACCTCTGCCCCCTTGTAGTCTAATAACCTTTTTTGCTTTTAAAACATTTTCTTGTAATTTATATCCTGTTGTCATTCATTATCATGACAACATGTGAAATAGGCAGAGCAAGTTTTATCTTGCCCACTTGGGAATTAAGAAAATAGAAGCTTGAGAGATTATTTGTATGTAGCAAATATTTATATAATGTTTAGTGATGCCAGGCATTGTTCTAATTGCTTTTTACAAATATTCTTTGTGTAGTTTGCACGGAGAAAAAAAAAACAAGCAAATACTAACTAGTTTGATCCACAACATAGCTAGGAGGTAGGCCCTACTGTAAAATGAAGAGAACATATGAGAGATGTGAAGTAACTTGTCCAATGTCACATAACTAGTGATAGCCAGAATTCAAATCCAGATAGACCAGAGATTGTGTGCTCTTAACCATTATACAGTGCTGTGTGATTTAGTGACAGGTCTAGGGTACTTTAAGGTGGTCAAGTAGCATAGCTGGGATTTGAACCGAGGTATTCTGTGGTCTAAGATTAAAGTTGTTCAAGTCATTGCCTTTGTGATCTAGACCACCTGTTGCACAGGTACATCAACAGTTTGCATTCAATGTAGGCTGTGGTTCAGTTCCCCTTTTTCTTAGTTTTTTTTTTTTTTTTCTTCATTGTTTAGAGTGGAGCTGTCCAATAATGTAGGTACTGTGTGGTTAGGAGCACTTGAGATGTGGCTAGTGTAAATAAGGAACTAAATATTAATTTAAATAGCTCTATGTAGCTGATGGCTACCATATTGGATGGGCACACGTTTGGAGGACTTGAATGCCTCTGCTTCTTGTATCAGTTTGTATAAATTTGGGTGGCATTTCTAATGTGCTTGAGCTTTTATCATAAGTAAGGATGACCCATCCTTGCTCTCACCTAATTAGCCTTGTTACACTACAGTTGAGATTAGGATAGACTTTGGGATTTTCTTGTGACATTGTTTTGCCTCTGAAGGTTTAAGACCTGTGATTTTTACCTTGTCCCTTGGTTTGGAGACCTTTAACTGCCCTAATATGTTTAAACACCAGATAGGTAATGCTAATTGTTATGCTCCAGGTTCTCTACCAAGGTACTATTAGTAATGTACCTTGTACAGATAAGGAAACCGTGACTCAGAGAAGTTAAATAACTTGCCATGGTCACACAGCTAGTAAAGCAGCCTGGTTCCAGAGCCCATGTTTTTTAATCATTACCTTATTGTATCAAATAGTAAAACAAAAAAATCGGCGCTTTTCACAGACTTCAGAGTAGAAAACGGACCAATTGAAAAATTTATCGATCCTCCCTGTCAGAGGAAGTATGCTTAAATGTATATATGCGTAAAATTGATAATAAAAATACATATGCAAATAAGGATTGCAGTGGTTTAAAGCAGAGTCCAAGGGAATGAGAAAAGATGGTGCCTGTGGAGGTGAATTAATGAAAGAAGCAGAAGAGAACTATATTTGAATTTTAATGAGAATTCTTTTTTTTTTTTTTTTTTTTTTTTTGGGACGGAGTTTCGCTGTTGTTACCCAGGCTGGAGTGCAATGGCGTGATCTCGGCTCACCGCAACCTCCGCCTCCTGGGTTCAGGCAATTCTCCTGCCTCAGCCTCCTGAGTAGCTGGGATTACAGGCACGCGCCACCATGCCCAGCTAATTTTTTGTATTTTTAGTAGAGACGGGGTTTCACCATGTTGACCAGGATGGTCTCGATCTCTTGACCTCGTGATCCACCCGCCTCGGCCTCCCAAAGTGCTGGGATTACAGGCTTGAGCCACCGTGCCTGGCTTTT